GATGAAGAGCCTAGATCACTAAGCAGCCTGGGGCAGAAGATCCAGAGCTGCCCCTTGACCCTTGGCCTCTCTGCCGTTTCACTGCAAAGCCAAGGCAGCCACAGGAGAATCTGCACAACCTGTCCGGTGTTCAAACCACCAGAGAAATATCAAAGAAGTCCCAGTTTTGAATGCTGAATGCAGGAATCTAAGTGAGCGCACACTTGATGGCTTCTTTCAGCGGGTGCAGTATAACTAAGTGATTTGAGTTCGGTCAAGAGCTGCCAAGTTTGCTATTGCAAAACCCTGGAAAACTCAAAATACTTCTTTGCTTGGATCAGAGATCTTTTAAAAATACGGGACGTCACTCCAGCTGCAGAATAAAGGGACGCCAAGAGCTTGGGATGAAACGGCAAGCAAGGAAAGGTTTATCCCAAACTGGATATGATCTTCTCTGTCTCAAGAACATGGAAAACAGGACTGGAATTGCAGGAAGTGTTGGGTTGGGGGGGGGGCATGGCCAATAGAGGCAAGGCGTCCCCTTCCTAGGTGCCATAAAGCAAAGGGTGCACAGCCATTCGTCCTGGATGCTCTCATTGGGTTCCCCCAGTGAGCGAAAGGGACTCTGTGGCTGGATTCAAAGTTTTTGTTTATCTCTAAACATTTGTGCTTGGGAATACAGAATACAGAGAGGCATTCCTGTGTGCACCTCTCTATGTCTCTTTGTTTGCTTTTATTGTTTTCCATTCTTTGTTATGGGAGGGAAACTGACTTTGGTGGTGTGCTTGCATGGCTAAAAATAAAAGCAATTAACGTGCTGAAGCAGCATCACCAAAACAATTTTTTAAGAAAGCCAAGCATTTTTTAGGTTCCTGTTATGTTCCCACGTTTGTCCAGTGAAGTCTTGAGGAATCTTCCATTAAAAGAGAACCGTAAAACTATGTACATGTTAACAGAATACAGAATAACAGCATCGGAAGGTGCCTTGGAAGTCTAGTCCAACCCCTGGCCAGGTAGGAGACCCTATATAAGGGATAGGCAACCTTGGCTCTTTTATGACTCGTGGACTTCAACTCCCAGAATTCCTGAGCCAGCCATGCTGGCTCAGGAATTCTGGGAGTTGAAGTCCACGAGTCATAAAAGAGCCAAGGTTGCCTATCCTGCCCTATATCATTCCAGACAAGTGGCTGTCCAGTCTCTTCTTAAAAGCCTCCAGTGATGGAGCATCCACAACCTCTGGAGGCAATCCATTTCCACTAATTGATTGTTCTCACTATCACTGTTCCCTTTATTTCTGAGTTGTTTCTCTCCTTGTTTAGTTTCCATCCATTGCTTCTTGTCCTGCCTTCAGGACAATACGTTGACCCCCCTATTCTCTGTGACGGCCACTTAGATATTGGAACACTACTATCATTCATTAGACAGCTGATTTAGAATTCTTCTGCTGGAAATTACATCCGAGGTGTCCAAGACTATGTGACCATCGGTGATTCACACGCTTGTGCAAAAAAAAAACCCCTCTCGCCATTCCATCTCTCCTTCCATCTGCCTTCCTTTCTGCACATATACCCTGACCAGCAAACAGATTCTGAAAGCATCACAGAGAGGGAATGCCACCATCTTGCTCTCAATGGACCAGGAAACTAAAGAACGGATGGGGATTCCCCTATGTTGCAACCCGTTTTGGTCACCGCAATATAAAAAAAGATGTTGAGACTCTAGAAAGAGTGCAGAGAAGAGGAACAAATATGATTAGGGAACGGGAGGATAAAACGTATGAAGAACGGTTGCAGGAACTGGGTATTTCTAGTCTAATGAAAAGAAGGACTAGGGGGTGACATGATAGCAGTCTTCCAATATCTAAGGAGCTGCTACAAAGAAGAAGGGGGTCAACCTATTCTCCAAAGCACTAGAAGGCAGGACAAGAAGCGATGGATGGAAACTAATCAAGGGCAGAACCAAACTAGAACTAAGGAGAAATTTCCTGACAGGTAGAACAATTAATCAGTGGAACAACTTGCCTTCAGAAATTGTGGGTGCTCCATCACTGAAGGTTTTTAAGAAGAGATTGGACAACCATTTGTCTGAAATGATATAGGGTTTCCTGCCTGAGCAGGGGGTTGGACTAGAAGACCTCCATGGTCAATTCCAACTCCGTTATTCTGTCTTTATTTTACTTGAATATATGGAAAGGCCACTTCTAAAGCACAACTGAAACATCCTCCTCCATCTATTCCAAGATGCCCCTCCTTTTTGCTTCCCCATTTGACCTCAAGGAACCATGTAGACAGCATTCCTCAGATTCTCTAGTTCAGTGGTTCTCAACCTTTTTAATGCCGTGACCCCCAACCGGTCATAAATCGAGGACTACTCAACCGGTCGTAAGTCGAGGACTACTCAACTGGTGCAGCACCATTTGCAGAATGGGACTTTTGGCGGGCTCAGCAGGGCAGAGACAGCCTGGACAATTCCTATTGGCTTTTGAAAGCCAATAAAATTACTCTATTCAAGAGAGTCTATTCTATTGGCTTTCAAAAGCCAATAGAATAAAAGGGAGTAGCACAGCTAAGGAAAAGGGGGAAAAAAATGGCGGACTGCGATGTTTGGCGACCCCCGTGAAATGGTCGTTCGACCCCAAATGGGGTCCCGACCCACAGGTTGAGAACCACTGCTCTAGTTTAAGGGATATTCTAACGCAGGGGTCTTCATACTCGGCCCTTTTATGACTTGTGGACTTCAACTCCCAGAATTCCTCAGCCAGGCACCGCTGGCTGAGGAATTCCAGGAGTTGAAGTCCACAAGCCATAAAAAGGCCAAGTTTGGAGACCCCTGTTCTAATGCAAGGCATCTTTCACAGGTTCAGGTAGGAGAAGGGACCAACACATCTACTAAGTTTCTGTTCCAATTCAAGCCAGTCCTCATTCAACAAAGTGAACCAACCTGCTGGCATGTGAGGTCTTCCATGGGAAGGAATACTTCATTTGCCATCATGTTGGGAATGGGGTTCGCTGGTGCCGCAAGGGATCACACTCGGCTCGAAAACCAAAAGCTTCCTATCAGGAGATGCTTCCATGGCTCTTGAGCTCAGAGATACAGGCAAGCAAGAGTAATTAGAAGCCCAGCCATACTTTGGTTTGAGGAAGGAGGAAGGGGAGTTGCTGTCCAGGAGAGACTAGCACAAAAATGATACAGAGGTGTGAAGCCTCCACCAAGCTCAACTGGACCTGCCATCCCCTCTGCCTTTCTGCTCATTCAGCAGGTAAAGAAGCTCCAGAGCAGGGGTTCTCAACCTTGGCCACTTTAAGACTTGTGGACTTCAACTCCCAGAATTCCTCAGCCAGCAAAGCTGGCTGAGGAATTCTGGGAATTGAAGTCCACAAGTCTTAAAGTGGCCAAGGTTGAGAACCCCTGCTCCAGAGGGTTCCCTACCTTGTTCAAGCTGTTTCCCTCAAGCATACCTGATTCCCAAGACCACATGGATATGTATGCATACAATTTTCCAGGCAAGTTGAAGATAGTTTCCCCTGCCTTCTTCCTGTAAGGTTTTCCCATGTCCCCATCTAGCCTAGAGGTTTTGGATCTCCTGCTCTCTCTATTCAAGGGCTAACTGGGACACGGACACACACACACACACACACACACACACACACACACACACACACACACACACGGTCATTGAGAGAATCAGCTACAGTTGTTAAGTTGCATTAACAGAGGGATTCAGTCAAGTTCACATAAGGTACTAATACCACTCCATAAAGCCTTAGTACAGTGGTTCTCAACCTTTTTAATGCCGCGACCCCCAACTGGTCGTAAGTCGAGGACTACTCAACCGGTCGTAAGTCGAGGACTACTCAACTGGTGCAGCACCGTTTGCAGAATGGGACTTTAGGCGGGCTCAGCAGGGCAGAGACAGACTGGACAATTCCTATTGGCTTTTGAAAGCCAATAGAATTAGACTCTATTCAACAGAGTCTATTCTATTGGCTTTCAAAAGCCAATAGAATAAAAGGGAGTAGCACACCTAAGGAAAAGGGGGAAAAAATGGCGGACTGCATTGTTTGGCGACCCCCGTGAAACGGTCGTTCGACCCTAAATGGGGTCCCGACCCACAGGTTGAGAACCACTGCCTTAGTAAGACCACACTTAGCATACTGCAACCAGTATTGGTCTCCACACTATAAAAAAGATGTTGAGACGGTAGAAAAAGTGCAGAGAAGAGCAACAAAGATGATTAGGGGACCGGAGGCTAAAACAGATGGTTACAGGGAACCGGGCATGGCTAGTTTAGTGAAGAGAAGGACCAGGGGAGACGTGATAGCAGTCTTCCAATATTTGAGGGGCTGTCATGGAGAGGAGGGAGTCAACCTATTTTCCAAAGCACCTGACGGCCAGACAAGGAATAATAGATGGAAACCGATCAAGGAGAGAATTCAACCTGGAAAGAATTTTTCTGACAGTGAGAACAATCAACCAATGGAACAATTTGCCTTCAGATATTGCGGGAGCTTCATCACTGGAAGCATTCAATACAAGACTGGACTGCCATGGGTCAGAAATGGTGTAGGGTCCCCTGCTTAGGGGGTGGGGTGGGGGAGGTGGGACTAGATGACCCACAAGGTCCCTTCCAATTCTGTTTATTCTAAGACTCGGCATCCAGGTCATCCTGCTATCTAAGCCCACCCCCATCTCTGATTAGTAGCCCAGGGCCAAGTCTTCTCACCCCACCTATAACTGGAGGGTGGTCTGGCCCAGAGCAGCTAGGCCAACTGGCAGATGGCTTCTCTCTTCCTCCCAACCTCCCCCCCCCGCTCCCCACTCCCCCCCCCCCCGGTGCTAGCCAGAAAAACAAATTGGGAAAGATGAAAAGGTCAGAAGGCCACAAGCCCCATCTGGAAAGCGTTGGGAGGTGGTGCTGGAGGACCTCAAGGTGCCCCCCCCGCTTCTGCTCCCGGCCGAGAAGCCCCCCCCCACATACACACACACACACACACACACACACACACAGCGCGCACTCTTGCCTGGTTGGGGTCGGTGGCCCGGAAGACGTGGCAGGCGACAGGCGAGTCGGGGTCGTCGGGTTGCGCCTTGATCAGGTAGGCGAAGTAGGTGAGGTCCTGGCTGTTGTGGACGAAGCGGGAGATGTGCTGCGCCTTGTGCTCGAAGATGAAGACGGCCGGCCCGGGGGCGCCGCCGGGCGAGGAGGGCACGCAGCGCAGGGTGGGCGCGCCCAGCAACAGCAGCACCTCCCGCGCCGGGGGCGCGCCCGGCTCGGGCTTCTGGCTGCGCCGCCGGACCTCGGCCATCAGCCAGGGCAACATGGGCAGCGTGGCTCGCCGGTCCAGGCTCGAGCAGCCCACGTACCAGAGTCGGAAACGCTTCTCGCCGCCCGGCCGACCCGGCCCGGGACCAGGCTCGGCCTCGGCGGCCAGCGGGTGCGGGAAGGGCGCCGGCTCCATCGGGGCGCCGGGCCGCTTGCTGGCTCCCGCGGCGGGTTCCTCCCCTCCGCAGCGCCTCCGCTGTTGCCCGCGGCCCCTTGCTCGCCCAGCCACGCGGCCGGCGCCGCCTCGCCTGGCCGCCGAGCGGAGCGGGAGGCGGGCACGGTCCGCGGAGCCGCCTCGGGGAGCGCCTTCGCCTCCCCGCCTTCGGGCGTGCGGCTCCTCCCGGGCGGTCCGGAGCCCCCCAGCGTGTCCCGAGAGCCCTCCGCGAGGTCGGTGGGGCTCCCGTCCGCCGAGGGTGGCCGGCTTCCTCGCCCTGCCCAGCCGGGAAGGCAGCCAAGCGCTGGCGTTGGAAAGGGGCCGCGGTGCCTGCGCCGCCTCCCTCCTGCCCCTCTCGCTGCCACTGCCGCTAGTGCTGGTGCTCCAGTTCTGACGGCGCGCCCGTTTCCTCCCCGGGTGAAGCTGGCGGGCCAATTAGGAGGAGACCTCGGCGCTGGGCGCGGGAGGGGAGGGGAGGCTCCCCAGCCCTCAGACGCGTCCTTGCAGATCAGCCGCCAGGAAGTCCAAGATTTGAAAAGCCTCAAAAGGGTGCCTGGAAAGGGCCGAACGAGCTGAGTCGGACTTGCCCCCGAAAGTGGAATGGAATGGAATTTAGGATAGAATAGAATAGAATAGAATAGAATAGAATAGAATAGAATAGAATTAGAGTAGAATTAGAGTAGAATTAGAGTAAGTAGAATAGAATAGAATAGAATAGAATAGAATAGAATAGAATAGAATAGAATAGAATAGAATAGAATAGAATAGTTGGAAGGAACCTTGGAGGTCTTCTAGTCTAGTCCAACCCTCTGCAGAATAGAGTAGAATTAGAGTAGAATAGAATTAGAATGGAATAGAATAGAATTAGAGTAGAATAGAATAGAGTGAGAATAGAATAAGAATAGAACAGAACAGAATAGAATAGAATAGAATTAGAGTAGAATAGAATAGAATTATAGAATAGAATAGAATTAGAGTAGAATAGAATAGAATAGAATAGAATAGAGTAAGATTTAACTAGACTAAAATAGAATAGCATAGAATAAGAATAGAATAGAATAGAATAGAATAGAATAGAATAGTTGGAAGGGACCTTGGAGGTCTTCTAGTCTAGTCCAACCCTCTGCTCAGGCAGGAAACCCTATAGTACCATTTCAGACAAATGGTTGCCCAATCTCACTTCACAACAGATCTTGCTGCAAAGTGCAGCTTCACATTCAGTTCATTGTCCAGTCTCTTCTTAAAAACTCCCAGTGTTGGAGCACTCTGCTGCAGGCAGGCTGTTCAAACTGATTAATTGTGCTCACTGTCAGGAAGTTTCTCCTTAGTTCTAGGTGGCTTCTCTTCTTGATTAGTTTCCATCCGTTGCTTCTTTTCCTACCCTCAGCTGCTAAGGAAGAAGGAGCAGGAGCCCCCCACCCAGTGGGAGCTCTGGAGGCCACCCCCATCTCTTGGGGGCCCGAAAGGCACAGCACCTCTTCTTTCGTCCTTTTGTAAAATCAGAGCCTTAGTATCTCTGCTACTCGCTTGGGCGGCTTTAACAAAATGTAAATAAATCAATTAGGGCCAGGCGCGCTTTGAAAATGCTTTAGATTAGACCGCCCTCGAGCGGGACCAGCTGCTCCGGGCTGCAACACAACGGGACTCGCCCGAGTTGCGCCTGTCACAGCGGAGGATACATGCCCGGGCTTGCTGACAACCCCACAGCTTGCGCGTTTGCCTGGGAAACAGCATCTGTGCACTCTCGGGAGCTTCGCCTTGTTGGCGAAGGTGCAACAGCGGCCAAACACCTGGTTCTCTTGCAGAGACGTCGGGAGCAGGCCGTGCACACACCTTGGCGTGCTCTTCGCGCCAGACACCTGCATGCACCGGGCGATGAGAGAGGCGGGGGTTTCCGAGATAAAATGCCTTTCTTTGTAAATCAAGCATGGACCTCTTCCCAGCACCGTTGTGGCGGCGCCCCCTTTGCCTCTGTCGTGGTCGGCGGCTGGGACAATCCCTCTTCAAATTCTTTCTAGTCTAAAACAGGGGTAGGCAACCTCGGCTCTTTTATGACTCGTGGACTTCAACTCCCAGAATTCCTGAGCCAGCATGGCTCAGCTTGGAAACCTCTCCCTTTCCCCTCAGCATGGCTGGCTCAGGAATTCTGGGAGTTGAAGTCCATGAGTCATAAAAGAGCCAAGGTTGCCTATCCCTGGTCTAGTGTTTCTCACCCTCAGTAACTTTTAAGCTCTGTGGACTTCAACTCCCAACGTCCCTCAGCCCGCATCCTGAGGCATTCTGGGAGTTGAAGTCCACAGGCCTTTAAACGTTGCTGAGGTTCAGAAACAGGGTTTTTGTATTACTGAGCTATCGGGGCCATCTGAGCCTGTGGCTTTCCCCAAGTTTGATGTGTTTTATTGCCTCGTTTCTTGGATACGGTTAGAGTGAATAGGTTTACTTAGCGTCTGCGCTGACTATTCTTTCGTAATAAATGGGTTTCAAGTGTGTTCGTAACAGCTTCGTTGATAGCCATGCAACACATGGCTCTTTTTTAAAAGAGCTGCCAATTCTTTAATTTCCAATCTTAAATGTAAAAGTTTGGTCCCTTTTTTTGGGGGGGGGGGTTGGAAACTACAGAGTCAGGGCTCTTAAGGGTGGGTGCTGCATCCTTGAAGCTGCTGACTTTAGACAAGGAATGCTCCCTTACCACAATAGCTCAGGATGCCACTGGGAATGGGCAGGGGGAGAAGTAGGCCTTTGTCCTCAGGCCACGCTTCTCAGCTCTGTTAACTATTGGAGGGAGGGAGGGAAGGAAGGAAGGAGAAAGGGAAGGTGGAAGGGGACGGAGGGAGGAAGGAAGGTAGAGAAGCAGGGAGAGAGGAAGGAAGGGATAGGAGGAAGAAAGGAGAGGGAGGGAGGGAGGAAGGGGAAGGAGAAAGGAAAAGTGGAAGGAAGGGAACAGAGGGAGGGAAGGTGGAAGGAAGGGAAGGAAAGAAAGAAGGTAGCAGGGAGGGAGGGAGAGAGGAAGGAAGGGGTAGAGGGAGGGAGGAAGGAAATGGGGTAACTTTTCAGTTGGGCTAAATATATAAGCACCTGCTTTTGTCTTATAATATCCAAAACTTCTCAGCTCTGTTAACTATTTGAGGGAGGGAGGAAGGAAAGGTGGAAGGAAGGAGAGGGTGGGAAGGTGGAGGGGAGGGAGGAAAGAAGGAAGAGAGAGAGGAAGGAAGGGGTAAAGAAAGGAAGGAAGGAAGGAAGGAAGGAAGGAAGGAAAGAAAGAAAGAAAGAAAGAAAGAAAGAAAGAAAGAAAGAAAGAAAGAAAGAAAGAAAGAAAGAAAGGGGGTAACTTTTCAGTCAGGCTAAATGTATAAGCACCTGCTTTTGTGTTATAATATCCAAAGCCATTTATGTGACTCAGCGTTAAGGCCGAGCAGTGTAAAACTTTAAACCAGAAAGAAATGTGGGCTAGGCCAAGTAAGTAGGTGATAAAATCCAACTGCGTCAATCCACTCCTATCAGTGTGCAGAGATATAACTCTGAAGGAGAGAAACTCTGGACTCGCCTTCTACTTAACCTCTAGAAAAAAAATTAGATTATCCTGAAAGGAAAACCTTTAAACTTGAATGAGAAGTTGCAGCCAGCTAGCAGCACCTGAAATTTATTATTATTATTACTTGTCAAGAGACCGACAAGTGGAATCCAAAGTCCTTGGAACGGCTGCTTTTCTCTCATCGAAGAATCCCAGATCCTGCTTCTCTTCCTAAGGGCCTCCCTTGGTTTCATGCTGTCCTTTTCTGCTTTATTCCATTTGACTTTCATTGCTTCCAGAAGGCCACCAAGGAGAAACTGCTAGCCCGGAGAATTGCACATTTATATGGTGAGAAGCATGAAAAAGCATCTTGATGGGGGGGGGGGAAACACACCCTAGAAGGGTCTGCCTGCCTACTGCAGCAGCTCAGAACCACTGCCTTCCCCCCCCCCAGCACCAGACACACCCTGCTCTTTCTGCTGACCAAAATCTTGGTTTTCAGCTGGCATTTATTTATGGTTCATGAAAAAAAACCCATGAAAAGAACAGAGGTTCTGCTTTTGTAAAAACACAAGACTCTCTGCAAGATTTCCCCCCTCCCCCTTTTGGTGTAAATAACTCAATGGTGATAGCAAGTCATCAATGGATGGAGCCCTTTCCTTGGCAGCACAGATGCAGTGAGCTGAAGAATTTCTTTTTGTAGTCAAGGATTATTCAAAATTACACAGGTGGCTATACAGACCCATGCTTTTTTTCCCCCGTTGAATCAGTGGTATCTCCTGACAAATGCCTGGGCCATTTCTTGGCAAGGTTTTTCAAGAGTTGTTTGTCCTTCCTTCCTTCCTTCCTTCCTTCCTTCCTTCCTTCCTTCCTTCCTTCCTTCCTTCCTTCCTTCTCCTCACTCCCTCTTGAGAGAGGGGCTGGCCCAAGGTAATCCAACTAGTTTTGTGTCCAAGGCAGGACTAGAACTCTTTCCTTCCTTCCTTCCTTCCTTCCTTCCTTCCTTCCTTCCTTCTTTCCTCCCTCCCTCCCTCCCTCCGTAGGGGCTGGCCCAAGGTAATCCAACTGGTTTTGTGTCCAAGGCAGGACTAGAACTCTTTCCTTCCTTCCTTCCTTCCTTCCTTCCTTCCTTCCTCCCTTTCTTCCTTCCTTTCTTCCTTCCTTCCTTCTTTCCTCCCTCCCTCCCTCCGTAGGGGCTGGCCCAAGGTAATCCAACTGGTTTTGTGTCCAAGGCAGGACTAGAACTCTTCCTTCCTTTCTTCCTTCCTTCTTTCCTCCCTCCCTCCCTCCATAGGGGCTGGCCCAAGGTAATCCAACTAGTTTTGTGTCCAAGGCAGGACTAGAACTCTTTCCTTCCTTCTTTCCTCCCTCCCTCCCTCCTGAGGGGCTGGCCCAAGGTCATCCAATTGGTTTTGTGTCCAAGGCAGGATTAGAACCCTTCCTTCCTTCCTTCCTTCTTTCCTCCCTCCCTCTCTCCCGAGGGAAGGGCCAAGGTCATCCAATTGGTTTTGGCAGGACTAGAACTCACCGTCACCCAGGTTCTAGTCGGACACCTACACCAAACTGGCTTTCTATGTTTGGAATTAATGTGGTAGGTAACCTGACAAATGTAATTTATTCAATAAAATGTGATCAGTTGACTTAGTCTGATAGATAAGCTGGAGCAGCAGTTAAGAAGGGTCGGTATGAAACACCCAGCCCAAAATTGGCAGAACAAAGGCAGCAGAGAGACATAAACAACAGCCTCACATGTTTTCCACCCTTTTATTAAGGAATGGAAGGTTGCCTTCCAGACCCATTGGATTTTTTCCAGGCAGAGTTCTAGATGGTGACGGGTACCACTGCTTTCCCAATGTAGCTAGTTGTAGCTAGTTGTAGCTAGTTGTAGATGCAGAGATGAAGAGAACTAAGACATTATAGGAAGCCATATCTTGGATAGTTCTCCGGACATTATTGGGTTTATTTCTCCTAGACCAGGGGTAGGCAACCTTGGCTCTTTTATGACTTGTGGACTTCAACTCCCAGAATTCTTGAGCCAGCCATGCTGAGGGGAAAGGGACAGGTTTCCATGCTGAGCCATACTGGCTCAGGAATTCTGGGAGTTGAAGTCCACGAGCCATAAAAGAGCCAAGGTCGCCTACCCCTGTCCTAGACTTCCCTGGTCTTCTTCTGAGTGGCTGAGATAGGTTCCACCTAAATTCTGGGGTGAAGCGGGAGGTCCATTTTAGGAGGAGGACTCATGTGTAGAATTTCACTCCATACCAGACAGTTTGCACCTCTTCAGCTGGAGAAAGCCATGGTGGAAACCAAAAAGAAGAACAAACCTACATCTCTTTCTGGAGAACCATTCTGTAGAACGATCTCTTAGGAGGCAAGGGAAGACTGGACCCTTGTTCAAAATGTCTCAAGAACGCTTGCCATTTCCTTGAACTGGCTGTGGAAATTCTAAAGGGAGAAAAAAACAAAAGAGAAATCAACAGGCACCAACAAGGCCTGGTATGGTCACACTGAAAAATCTTACTCTAGAGCAGTGGTTCTCAACCTGTGGGTCGCGACCCTATTTGGGGTCGATCGACCATTTCACGGGGTCACCAAGCAAGGCTGTCCGCCATTTTTTTTCCTCTTTTCCGGCGGGTGCCTTAACTCCCTTGGGCTGGGCCAGCTGGTGGACCAGACGGTGGTCAGCCTGCTCCGTCTCTGCCGCTTGCTAGCTACGCCTCAGCCGGCACAGGGAGTGGCACCACGCATGCGTGGCACTCCCGGGCAGGGAAAGTCCTCGACTTACGACCGGTTGGGTAGTCCTCGACTTACGACTGGTTTAGTCCTCGACTTACGACCGGTTTAGTCCTCGACTTACGACCGGTTGGGGGGTCACGCCATTAAAAAGGTTGAGAACCACTGCTCTAGAGACACAATGTACTCCACAGCACGCCACACATGCATGCATGGCCAACACATCCCTCATTTCTTTTCAAGCCTGCTGCCTCTCAGCTAACCAAGGGCTGAGATGTGCCTACATCACGGCTGCCAGGAGTTCGACAGTTTGAAACTCACTGGCTCAAGGTTGACTCAGACTTCCATCTTTCCGAGATCGGTAAAATGAGGACCCAGATTGTTGGGGGCAATTTGCTGACTCTGTAAACCGCTTAGAGAAGGCTGTAAAACACTGTGAAGCGGTATATAAGTCTAAGTGCTATTGCTATCCCTTCCTTCCTTCCTTCCTTCCTTCCTTCCTTCCTTCCTTCCTTCCTTCCTTCCTTCCTTCCTTCCTTCCTTCCTTCCTTCCCTCCCAGTGGTTAGAATGGAGTATTGCAGGCTAACTCTGCCCACTGCCAGCAGTTCGATCCTGAATGGCTCAAGGTTGACTCAGCCTTCCATCCTTCTGAGGTCAGTAAAATGAGGACCCAGATTGTTGGGGGCAATGCGCTGACTCTGTAAACCACTTAGAGAGGGCTGTAAAGTACTGTGAACCTGTATGTAAGTCTAAGTGCTATTGCTATCCTTCTTTCCTTCCTTCCTTCCTTCCTTCCTTCCTTCCTTCCTTCCTTCCTTCCTTCCTTCCTTCCTTCCTTCCTTCCTTCCCAGTGTTTGGAATGCAGTATTGCAGGCTAACTCTGCTACTGTGAAGCGGTATATAAGTCTTAGTGCTATTGCTATTATAATCATTAGCATGTTCACCTTTAACTCAAAGCACCACATTGTAAACATTAGCACAACTGGCTTCAGTGTTAGCAACAGCCAGTGAAACAGCTGGAAAGCAAAGGGAAACAAATGCATGCTTGCATATAAAGGTTTACCACCACCCTTCCCCCCCACACAAACAGACAGATACACACTATGTTCCAATGAATCCCTAGTGTGCACAAAATATAATGTCCGCACAGCACAATTAAGACACTTTGTGTGGGGGTTTTTTTCCAACCTCTTGATATTGGACAGACTGAATAAATCTGATTTGCTAACTATTCCTGGTATTGGATGCTGGGCCACCAGGAATCCGCATGTAATTCAACTGTGACTAAAAAGTGCATTTCTGAAAGAATCCAAGTTCCACTGCAGCTGAAAAACTGCCAGGGGAAACAAAAAGACCCAGGCTACACAGGTGACAAAACAACCATTTGAATCTCATTGGTTGACATCCACTCATTCTGAAATACTTAATTTAATGCAGAACCTTCATTTCACCTGCACCATTTCATATGTTCAAATCATCAGGCCACGTTTTAATCCTCTTCGCCCATTGTCTTCTGTTCTGAGGATGAGCTGCTACAGAAGCCAAGCAGCAGAAGCCGTGTCTGCTACAAAGCGTGAAAAATACACAACGGGGCACGTTTTTTCAAAAAAGGGCAAAGATCAGGAAAGGCTGTTTACAAACCTGAAACTGAGAGATTGTCATTTCAATCGTTTTGCAGGTGACGTTCCCCAAACTGTCGGCAACTTTGAATGCCACTGTCACACAAGGCAACTTCAAGGATTTGCAGCTGTCGGCACTAATGGCCATTCCCAGCTTCCACTGAAAATCAATAAGCTGCAAAACAAGAAATGACTATTTTGGGTATTTGCAGTTGAGTCACCATCTTTGGGGAAGGAAGGAAGGAAGGAAGGGAGGGAGGGAGGAAGGAGAAAGAATGGATGGATGGAAGGAAGGGAGGAAAGATGGAAGGAAGATAGGAGAAAGGATGGAAGGAAGGAAGATAGAATGGATGGAAGGAAGGAAGGAAGGAAGAATGGATGGATGGAAGGAAGGAAGGGAGGAAGGATGGATGGATGGAAGGAAGGAAGGAGAAAGAATGGATGGAAGGAAGGGAGGAAAGATGGAAGGAAGATAGGAGAAAGGTTGGATGGAAGGAAGGAAGGAAGATAGGAGAAAGGATGGAAGGAAGGAAGATAGAATGGATGGAAGGAAGGAGAATGGATGGAATGAAGGAAGGAAGGAAGGGAGGAAAGATGGAAGGAAGATAGGAGAAAGGTTGGATGGAAGGAAAGAAGGAAGATAGGAGAAAGGATGGAAGGAAGGAAGATAGAATGGATGGAAGGAAGGAAGGAGAATGGATGGAAGGAAGGAAGGAAGGAAGGGAGGAAAGATGGAAGGAAGATAGGAGAAAGGTTGGATGGAAGGAAGATAGAATGGATGGATGGAAGGAAGGGAGGGAGGAAGGATGGAAGGAAGGATGGATAGAAGGAAGGAAGGGAAGAAGGATGGAAGGAAAGGAAAGGAAGGAAGATAGGAGAAAGGAAGGAAGGAAGATAGAAGAAAGAATGGAAGGATGAAATGAGGGATGGATGGGAGGAAGGAAAGAAGAAAGGAAGATAGGAGAAAGGATGGAAGGAAGGAAGGAGAAAGGATGGATGGATGGAAGAAAGGGAGGAAGGAAGGAAGGAAAGGAAGTACAATAAAGGTGTCCTTTATTGTGTGGGGACATCTGTCAAACAATCATCCTGAAGGACATTTCAGGTGAGCCGTGAAAGGCAAAATTCATGCTGGCTCTACCTGGCCCCGACCCCGATGCTTTTTCAAGCCTTGTGACTCAAAGTGGTAATACCTCCTCAGTCTTAGAGCTTCTCCGAGGACTTGGTCCCTCTACTCTCAGACCAATCTACTTCACAGGATTGTTGTTCTGGAGATGAAAGGAAGAGAATCTTTTCCGCCCTGGCCCATTGGTTTTCAATATCTGATGGGCTCAATTTCAGAAGAGATGGAGTTTAAAAAAAATCGAAGTGATGATAAAAGTCTAGATTCCAGAACAGGACTAGGTGAAAGCCTCAAAATCTCCAGGCCTAGCTAGAGCTGTTTCCTTTAGGAAGGCAGGAGGGTGAGTGGTTACAGGTAATCCTTGATTTACGACCACAATTGAGCCCCAATTTTCTGTTGTTAAGTGAGACAGGTGCCCCATTTTACAACAGCTGTTAAGTGAATCACTGCAGTTGTTAAGCTAGTGAAACGGTTTTTATGCGAAGCTGGCTTCCCCATTGACTTTGCTTGTCAGGTCACAAAAGGTGATCCCATGACCCCGGGTCACTGCAACCGTCATAAATACAAGTCAGTTGACAAGAGCCTGAATTTTGATCACGTGACCGTGGGGATGCTGTAACGGTGGTCAGTATGAAAAACGGTCAATCACTTTTTTCAGTGCCGTTGTAACTTTGAACAGTCACTAAATAGGTGGTACCTTGCTCAATAGTAGTAGTAACTGTGAGAGGGATCTCGGAGTCCTAGTGGACAATCACTTAAATATGAGCCAGCCGTGTGCTGCAGCTGCCAAAAAAGCCAACACAGTTCTAGGTTGCATTAACAGAGGGATACAATCAAGATCTCATGAAGTATTAATACCACTTTACAATGCCTTGGTAAGGCCACACTTGGAATACTGCATCCATTTTTGGTCACCACGATGTAAAAAAGATGTTGAGACTCTAGAAAGAGTGCAGAGAAGAGCAAGAAAGATGATTAGGGGAATGGAGGCTAAAACATACAAGGTATGGTTGCTGGAATTGGGTATGTCTAGTTTAATGAAGAGAAGGACGAGGGGGGACATGATAGCAGTATTCCAGTATCTCAGGGGCTGCCACAAAGAAGAGGGAGTCAAGCTGTTCTCCAAAGCGCCTGAAGGCAGGACAGGAAGCAACGGATGGAAACTAATCAAGGAGAGAAGCAACCTAGAACTAAGGAGAAACTTCCTGACAGTTAAAGCAATGAACCAGTGGAACAACCTCCCTCCAGAAGCAGTAAATGCTTCAACACTGGAAGTCTTTAAGAAGAGACTGGACAGCCAATTGTCTGAAATGGTATAGGGTTTTCTACCTGAGCAGGGGGTTGGACTAGATGACTTCCAAGGTCCCTTCCAACTTTATTATTGTTGTTACTGTTATTATTATTATATGAATATTGTAAGTCAAGGATTACCTGTAGTGTTGGAACAGGACTGGGAAGACACAGATTATAGTTCACCCTCCACCATGGAAGGTCCTTGGTTGGTATGGGGCCGACAGGGCAGTAGTTGGGGGATAAAACCGAGGGATATTTGTACCGGAGCAAGGAAGGAGACCAATCTAATATGTAGCACTTTTAATTTCCTTTTATTCTTTACCTGCCCAGCTGCTGCCACAGGTACTGCATCCTCCAATTCCACCAGGGATTTTCTTTTCTCATTCCACACCTGCTGGATCACCTGGCCAGATTGTTGCGGCAGAAAGCTGAACATTTTGCCTAGCTCCGTGGAAAATTCTTCGGAGGTGAGTTTATTTTTTGCTGCTGTGCTATAAGCCCCCCCCCCAAGCAAAACAAATTGTCCTCTTAAATTTCAATCTCAGCAACTTATATCACTCTTCCCCCCACCCTTCTTTTGGCCAGGGGATGCCAGCCTTCCCCCCCCCCCACAAAGAGTCCAATGGCCCAAAGTAATGGGCAGGGAGACCCCCAGCCTAGCTGGCTGGTGGAGAAGGAACAGAGGAAACTTACCCAAAGAGCCAGGAGAGGGCCTGCAGCGCCTGGGCCAGGTCGCCCGGGGCTACTTCCACGCCGGCTGTATGGCACCTCTTGGAGAGAAAAGCAGCTGTGGGGGTGGTCCTTCAACAGCCCACCCACCCACCCACCCACTCCCCATTCTGTCCCTAAGCTCACCTGGCATATCTGGGCGGCATCAAAAGCGACCCTCCCAGATTGCAGCCGCTGCACGGCTCGCTCGCACTGTGGAAAGAAGGCAGGTGGAGACCCCTCTGCAGACCCCAAGAAGAGGTAGCGTGGACCGGGATGGTGGGGGTCCCGGGCCCCCAAGAGGAAGCTCCAGCCCCACTCCCACCCAGATCCCTGGAAGGAAGGAGGAAGGGCAGACCCCTGTATAGGTATAGGATCTCCTGCTTGAGCAGGAGGCTGGACTAGAAGACCTCCAAGGTCCCTTCTAGCTCCATGCTGATCCTAATCCTGCCCTCTCGGGCGGAGGAGGCAAGGACGGGGAGGGGGGACCTCACCAGCTCCGCCAGCAGGTCCTGCGGGAGGGTCGCCAGCGCGGCAGCCCCGGCTCCCCCCGCCTCCCCCGGCGCTACGGGCGGCATCACGGAAGTTGCGCAGTGCAGGGAAGCCACCGGATCGAGGCACTTCCTCCCGCCCCCCCCCAACAGACACACACGGCGGGAAGGGGCGGGTGGGGCGGGTCTCTCCGCTTGACCACTCCCAGCAGCCCCGCCTCCCGGCGGCTTGGACGAGCCCACGCGGGGAGGGGGGAGACGCCGCCTTCCCCGAGCCTTGGTACAGGCCGGGGCGGAGCGAGATCCAGGCAAGAAGCCGGCCTGCCATGGAGGTTCAGCGCTGGCTGCCGCTGGAGGCGAACCCCGAGGTAGGTGGGAGGGGGCGCGTGGGTAGGTGGGAGAGAGGGAGGGAGGGAAGGGTCGCGTGGGTTGGACGGTCGCCTGTGTCCGGACCCGGACTGACCCGCTCCCCCCACCTTTCTGACTTGCAGGTAACGAACCAGGTGAGCTGCTGCGCCGCGCACGGCGCCCCTCGACGGTCCGCATCCCCCTCGGGTCGGGGGGTCTCCCGGGTGTGGGAGGGAAGCGAGGAAGAGGTGGGCGGCGGAGGCGATCAGCCCATCTGCCCGCCCGTCCGTCTGTCTCCCGGCAGTTCCTCCGGCAATTGGGCATCCACGCCAGTTGGCAGTTCGTGGACGTCTATGGGTCCGACCCGGAGCTGCTCGGCTTGGTGCCCCGGCCCGTCTGCGCCCTGATGCTGCTCTTCCCGGTCACCGAGAAGGTAGGTGGAGCCGGGGCTCTTTCCCCGCGGAAGGGGCTGCCCCCTCGAAAAAAGGTCTCAATGCAATACATTCAGAATAGAGCTGGGAGGTCATCTAGTCCAACCCCCTGCTCAAGCAGGAGACCCGGAGGACTCCTGATCCCTCCCTCCCGCACAGCCAGTTAGCTCCCTACCCACCTCGGGGTTCCCCTCTAGCTTCCAAATTGCTGGGCGTTCTGGGAGTTGTAGTTGTAGCCCAGCTACCCCTGGAGGGTGAAGCAGTGCACATACTACCGGGTCCTGTAGTCCTCGACTTAACAACTATTCCCTCCCACGCAGCCAGCCAGCCAGCCAGCTCCCTACCCACCTCGAGGTTCCCCTCCAAGCTTCCAAGCTGCTGGACATTATGGGGGTACTTACAACTATTCATTTAGTGACCGTTTGAAGTTGCAATGGCACTGGAAAGACTTATGACCGTTTTTCACACGACCGTTGGTTGCAGTGTCACTCGGTCACGTGATCGAAATTCAGACGCTTGGCCACTGACTCATATTTATGACGGTCGCAGTGTCCCGGGGTCATGGGATCCCCTTTTGCGACCGTCTGACAAGCAAAATCAATGGGGAAAACCAGATTCACTTCACAACCGTGTTACAACCTGACAGCTGCAGTGATTCAACTGTGGTAAGAAAGGGTGTAAAATCGGGCAAAAGTCGCTGAACAACTTGTCCTACTTAACAGCCGAAATTTTGGGCTAAAAGGTGATCGTAGGCCAAGAACTGTGTGTATTTGGACTTTGAGACTTTCTTGTCTGCAGGACACCCTGCGTGCAAAATAAAGGGGCATCCCCCCCCACATATATCTTTAAATCTTCTCTCTTTAAAGCCTTTTCAGCATCTTCAAAGTGATACCGCCCTGGGATATCCTTCCTCTACTGTCCTCTCAAATGTTCTGGGTAATGGGCAGAAGAGTGGCTTTAAAGACTGCTAAGCAGAGGGAAAGACAAATGTTCATGGCCCGCAGCCCTCCATAGAAACAGAATTGTCGAAAATGGCCTAGTTTTCTAGCTCTCTGGAAAGTAAAATGATAGTGTTTCTAGCAAGGTCACACAACACAAGGAAGGTGGGAGAAATGTGCACTTGGTGTGCGTTAGGGTGCAAACCAAGGGAGGGCATTGCAAGGCCTGCGGAACCTTCCAGTTGATAAATTTAAAAAAACAAACATTCCTTTTTAGACCCTGTAATCCAGTGGTTCTCAACCTGTGGGTCAGGACCCTATTTGGGGTTGAATGAATGCAGTCCGCCATTTTTTTCCCCTTTTCCTTAGGTGTGCTACTCCCTTTTATTCTATTGGCTTTTGAAAGCCAATAGAATAGACTCTCTTGAATAGAATCTAATTCTATTAGCTTTCAAAAACCAATAGGAATTGTCCAGGCTGTCTCTGCCTGCTGAGCCCGCCAAAAGTCCCATTCTGCAAACGGTGCTGCACCAGTTGAGTAGTCCTCGACTTATGACTGGTTGAGTAGTCCTCGATTTACGACCGGTTGGGGGTCGCGGCATTAAAAAGGTTGAGAACCACTGCTGTAATCCCTTAATTCGGGAAGGGGGTAAACTGGATGGAGCTGAGCGTTTACTGGCCAGATGCCCTTCCTGAAGCCACATAGAGTTTGTAGCCGATATTTTTTCCTTTGTGCCCTAGCTCTACCTAGAATTGAACTCTCAACCTTCCGAGTGCGAGGCGAGCGCCTTCACCACTAGACCACCATGTTCTAGTGGATAAATGTCTTAGAACAAACTTTTTCCCCTGGGTTCTTGAATGTCTTTTCTTTCTTTGATGAGCGCTGTTTATTTTTTCCAAAATGGATGCTTTGAAAAGGGGAATTTGAAAAAAAAAAGTCTCTTTTTTTCCTTCCTTGCTGCCTAGTATGAAACATTCCGGATGAAAGAGGAAGAGACGATCAAAGCTAACGGACAAGAAGTCAAACCGGGTGTCTATTTCATGAAGCAGACCATCAGCAACGCCTGCGGAACCATCGGCCTCATTCATGCCATTGCAAACAACAGGGATAAAATTGACTTTGGTAAAGCTTTTCCCTTCTCCCAGGTTACTCTTCCATGGTTGGGAAGATCGGTGGCAACTTTTATGATCCAGGGAAAGGAATTTACAGGGCAGCATATACACATAGTCCTCGACTTACGGCAGTTTATTTAGAGACCATTCGAAGGTACGACAGCACTTGAAAAAAGTGACGTATGACCCTTTTATTCACACTTACGACCGTTGTGGCATCCCCGTGGTCATGTGATCAAAATTCTGATACTTGGCAACTGACTCATATTTATGACGGTCTCGGTGTCACCTTTTGCGATCTTCTGACAAGCAACGTCTACAGGGAAGCCTGGTCTACTTAACAACCAGGTTACTAAACAGCTGCAGTGATTCACTTAACAACGGTGGTGAGAAAGGTTGTAAAATGAGGCAAAACTCATTTAACAAGATGTTTTGGGCTCAATTGTGATCGTAGGTTGAGGACTTCCTATACTAGCCAGAACACATTATCTTGGATAGGCAATGCTGGCTCTTTTATGACTTGTGGACTTCAACTCCCAGAATTCCTGAGCCAGCCATGCTGAGGGGAAAGGGAGAGGTTTCCAAGCTGAGCCTTGCTGACTCAGGAATTCTGGGAGTTGAAGTCCACAAGTCATAAAAGAGCCAACATTGCCTACTCCTGCGCTATCTTAACCATTCTAATGATGATGATGATATCCATTCAATTATGTCCAACTCTTGGTGATTCTGTGGGCCAAGTCTCTCCACATAGTCTGATCTTACACTGCTTCTTTGAGTTTTTATGTTGTCTGGCTCGTGTCTGGATGCCATGTTGTTTGGCGTCCTGGTTTCCTTTTATCGCTCACTTGTCCAAACAGAATTGCTTTCTCCAGTGAATTCCCCCCCCCCCATGACACGGCCAAAATTAGCGAGACCCAGTTTTGTAATTTCCACTTTAATGAAAAGTAGCTTATTCATTCTGGTATACATTCCGTAGCAACGTTTCCTGGTGTTTATGTTCTGTTTGTCAAGTTGATAAGCTAGAAAACATCTTGATTTGTAGTGTTACATGAGTGTTGTTTTCAGTGTCATTTTACCTGCAGTGTAAAAAAGAAACATTGGAAAGCATTGTGTGTCAGTGTTCAACCCGTCCCTTTGAATGTTAATTCTCTTTCTTTGTATTAATGCTGCCTCTTTTAGAAAAAGATTCTTCGCTGAAGAAATTCCTGGACGAGTCGGTGCCGATGAGTCCCGAACAAAGAGCCAAATACCTAGAAACTTATGAAGTGAGTGATGATGTATACTTGGAGGGCAATCTCTTTTCTGTTGCAGACAGTAGTCATTAAATCGGATAGGGCAATCCCAGCCACAATTATAGTGACATCGCTACAATATTAGTCTTCTCAAACTGAACTTTCAAACTATTAGAATCCTTTGCCGGTGGAGCTTCACAGTTGCCTGTAAAAGCGAAGGGTTTTTTACTGGGATGTTTTGCTGCATTATATGATACCATCTAATGCAGGTAGTCCTCGAGTTACAATTGTTCATTCAGTGACCGTTCAAAGTTACAACGTCGCTGGAAAAATGACTTGTGACCAGTTTTCACACTTAAACGACCAATGTAGCGTCCCCATGGCCAAGGGATCAAAATTCAGATGCTTGATAATTGACACATATTTATGACGGTTTGCAGTGCGTCCCGGGGTGACGTGATCGCGTTTTGCAACCTCTTAAGAAGCAAAGCCAGATTCGATGAATAGCAGCTTGACTAATTTAACAACTGCAGCCATTCACTTAAAGAACTGCAACAGGAAAAAATCGTAAAATGGGGCAAGTTCGGGTAACAAATGTTTCAATTAGCAACAGAAATCTTGGGCTCAATTGTTGTAAGTCGAAGACTGCTTGTGTCATGATAAGGAGATCGTCATAAAGGCATAGGCTAAGATGTTCAATATTTAGAGGAATACCCGTTCCCTTTTTTTTTTTTTTTTTTTTGTATAAAGGCATGAGTTATCCATCACAAGCCACAAAATTGTTTACAAATCCAACAATGGTTCATTTGTTACCTTCTAGGAGGAGGGGGCTCCGTGATATCTGAAGTAGAACATCCAGATTCAGTCCCAGTTTTGTTCCATACAATATTAACCTTGTGAATTCCAAAGCTTCCTCCCTCCATTATGTATTAAAGATGGACAGTGATTAATATTTATATGTTACTTATATGTAAGAGTGTAGGTCTATACCAGGGGTAGGCAACCTTGGCTCTTTTATGACTTGTGGACTTCAACTCCCAGAATTCCTAAGCCAGCATGGCTCGGCTTAGAAACCTCTCCCTTTCCCCTCAGCATGGCTGGCTCAGGAATTCTGGGAGTTAAAATCCACGAGTCATAAAAGAGCCAAGGTTGCCTACCCCTGGTCTATACATATGTTCCATAGAGAGCAAGCAACTAAATTTCATTTTTAATGGGTGCTGTTGTGCCCACAGGAAAAAAATGACCATAAAGGTTATCTAATTTAATCTCATTGGGGTTATCTGAAATTCAAGTAGTATTACCTTGATTATCAGTCATTATACAGCTAGTCCTTGACTTACAACACTTCATTTAGAGACCGTTCAAATCAACTGAAAAAAGTGACTTATGACCGTTTTTATCGTTATGATCTTTGCAGCATCCCCCAAGTCATGTGATCAAAATTCAGATGCTTGCTGGCAACTGACTCATGTTTATGACGCAGTGCCCCAGGGTCATGGGATCAACGTTTGTGAACTTCTGACTGGCAAAATCAATGGGGAAAGTCAAAGTTGCTTTACAACCGTGTTACTAGCTTAACAATTGCGGTGATTCCATTAACCGTTTCACAAAAGGTCATAAACGTGGGGCAAAACTCACTTAACAAATGTCTCACCTAACAACAGAAAATTTTGGGCCATAAGTCAAGGACTACCTGTACCTGAGTCCTGTGCAGCTTGTAAGCCAAGCTATCCATCAGCTTTGGAAGAATGCTACCTTTTTAGGGTGGCAGGCCAAGAGACATCATCATCATCATCATCATCATCATATCTGTAATACCATCAAACATCCACATCTGCCTATCCCAGGTCCTTGGTAAGGACTCGATAGGTAGACAAAATGTCAAATCCAGTCTGAACATCAGGCTGACTATGTGATGATCCATAATAATAAAGTTGGAAGAGACCTTGGAGGCCATCTAGTCTAACCCCCTGCTCAGGCAGGAAACCCTATACCATTTCAGACAAATGGCTGTCCAGTCTCTTCTTAAAAACTTCCAGTGTTGGAGCATTCACCACTTCTGGAGACAGGTTATTCCACTGGTTAATTGTTCTCACTGTCAGGAAGTTTCTCCTTAATTTCAGGTTGCTTCTCTCCTTGGTTAGTTTCCATCCGTTGCTTCTTGTCCTGCTTCAGGTGCTTTGGAGAACAGCTTGACTCCCTCTTCTTTGTGGCAGCCCTTGAGATATTGGAACATTGCTATCATTATTATTTATTAAATTTATTTGCAGACCATGATTCGGTCCTTTCAGTCTCCAGTCAAAGCTTACCTTCCAGCAGAGGCTGAGGACCTGCCAGAACCTGTTTGTCCTGTTGCTCAACTCCATTTTTGAGCTGGCACAACCCACTCAAAGAGAAACTCCCTGTCCCGCCTTTGGGCAACATCTGAGAAGAAGAGATGCCCAGCTGGTTGCCCATTAATCTTGACTGCAAAGAGGCTTCTGTGTTGAGCCCAGAGGGAGGGCTGCGGAAGAGGCCTTTTCTCCAGGTGGAATTCCAGCCCTACCTGGGCTTGCGTTGGTCAGAAAGGGCGGTTTGCTCTTTCCGGTCGTAAATCCTGGGGCTGCTTTGGGAGACAATTTGCAACGTTTCTGGTGCTTTAAGAAAACAGCAGAATTCTTCTCACTTCAGAAACTGGTGTTTGGCAAATTGGGTTATCTGTCAGATGATTGGGTTGGTGGGGGCTGAGGGGCTTTTGAATCGGGTTGTTCCCCGGCCATAAGCTAACAGTCTGTTTTGAAATTTCAGGCCATCCGTGTGACGCACGAATCCAGTGCTCATGAAGGCCAGACTGAGGTACACAATTCAATTATTCCCCGAGTAAAGCTTTTGATGTGATTTTTAAGAACAAGCAGTGACTTGTATCCTGCCGTGGTCCTGAAAGGGAGTGGGATAGAAGAAAGTTCTAGAACAGCACTTGGTTTAATTCAGTTGAGCAGGGGGCTGGACTAGAAGACCTCCAAGGTCCCTTCCAGATTCTATTCTATTCTATTCTATTCTATTCTATTCTATTCTATTCTATTCTATTCTACTATTCCATTCCATTCCTTCCTGATGCAGTCTCTGAGTTGCATTGGTTTTTTTTTAATAAAGCTGCTATGACCCAAGGCAAGGATTTGCACGAGGCCTTTAAAGAGACTCTTTGTATTGGGCTTAGTGAAAACTCTACCCTGTATCTCTATGATGATTCTCAGTCATCCGGGTCACAGTTGTATCAAAAGTGGTTTTTATTTTGGACTGATTTATTTTATTTTATTTTTTTTGTGGAAGAAGAAAACATGAACCTTCCAGGATAGGAAGCAAAACATCTTCTTCCTCCCCCCGCCCCCAAAAGGTCCAGTTGCCTTTTCAAAATAAAAACCACTTTTTGATTCTACCTTGGATGCTGGCTTCATCTGGGCTTGCCTGTGGCCCTTTGAGGAGTTGAGATCTGTTTGTGGGATGTTCCTGCCCAAGGAAGGAGAAACTGCCAGGCTAATTCTGCCCTTCATTTGTAGCAGCCCTGTAGGCCTCACCCTATGGCCTAGGCCAGGGGTAGGCAACCTTGGCTCTTTTATGACTTGTGGACTTCAACTCCTAGAATTCCTGAGCCGCATGGCTCAGCTTGGAAACCTCTCCCTTTCCCCTCAGCATGGCTGGCTCAGGAATTCTGGGAGTTGAAGTCCACAAGTGATAAAAGAGCCAAGGTTGCCTACCCCCGGCCTATGCCAACCAAGCAGATGGAAGAGAGTTGTTGGGACAGCGGGAAAGAGGCAGAAGTATAACTAGTTTTTTTGCTGACCAGTCCCTCTGTACCTGAGATGAGAAATCTCTGCTGCCTGACCACTGTGACCAGCATCTAGATGACTTTGCAGGGGGGAATTCAGCAAATTCCCTCTAGGAGGAATTATAGCTGGCAACATTAACTGTTAGCATTAACCATGCTTCTTTGCTTTGAAACTGGCTTCTTTCCGTGTCTCCTTTTAAGCTCGGACTCCACTTGGCTTCTCAGCCAGCTTTAATTCTTTAATTAAGCTTTAATTAATCTAGAAGGCTCTCGGTCATCTTTAAGCCAGGACCCACAGACATTGTCACCATTTTTTTTCCTAATAAGCATCTAAAACTGTACAGCTGTACTAAGTATTTGGAAAAGATATATTTCAGCATCCCAGTATTTGTACCTAGGTCTTATGTGACTGCTTCTCCAACTGTTTTACTACGTTTTTCTTCTGGCAAAATGGTTGCTCTTGTGCTTGCAGATAAAAAGACCTGGGAAGCAACTATGCAAAACTTGCAAGAATGCAGCTTTTTGACAGAAGTGCTTATAAAACTGTAACCTGTAGCCTGACCAATAGTTGTAGTTCTGCCCCCAGTTTTTTTCTAAGAGTCTGATTAGCCATTCATGTATGGTCCACTATCTGCTCATCTTACTTACAGCTTAAAAGACATGATCACCTCAAATGCAACATCTGAAAGCAGAGCACAAAGGTTGATTTAAAAATCAATGTGTGTAGAGTATAATAGTCCTGTAAAACAGATGGTTTTAAGTATCATACTTTTTTTTTGGCCCTTGTAATTTATTGATTGAGCAATAACACAAAAGAACTAGGATGAGCTCCTGGTGGAACAAAAAACTTTTGAAGTTTGCTAATATCCTAGGAATTTTTAGGGCATCATTTTTGCTTCTTTCATAATATTTTTTCTTCCTGTTTCTGATATTTATTTTTATTTACCAGTTTTATGTTATTTATTTGTTTTGTTATTCAGTTGCTTAGACAACTGCTTTTTAAACATTTTACAACCTTTAATCAGTAAAATCTACTCAGAATAATGTAGGTAAACCTCTGGGTTAAATCTGAAAAAAAAATATCCTGCTTGTGTTTGCTTCCTGAATGCAATTTAAAAAAAAATAAAAAATCAAGTGATTTAAAGATGCTGTTGCTTGAGTGTTCAAGTATTGAGGTCTTTGGCAGCTTCCCAAAATAGAAAGTGGGTCTTTTTCAAAGAGTCTCTGGGGCAAAGCTTACTAAGAAGGAAGGGGTAGAGTCTCAAAAAATTCCAGTCTCTGAGCTATTTCCTGTCTGAAACCAAGATCTCTTCAAGGTACATTTGGAATGAATATGTTTATTTTCTTTTTAACTGCCTTCCTGTGAAAGGGAAACAAACATAGATCTTTTTGCTTGCAGGTTGCAGGATGCAAAAGACTCAACATTTTTATTGGTTTGGCAAAGAGGCATTGTTATTAGAATAGAATAGAATTCTTTATTGGCCAAGTATGATTGGACACACAAGGAATTTGTTTCCGGTACATAAGTTCTCAGTGGACATACAAGCAACAAGTGATAAATCATGATCATAATCATCATAAAAATACATTCACCATAAATCGTAAGATACAACAATTATGATAGTCATAGGATAGTAAATAAGCAAACACCATAAATCATACTAGGATACTAAATGAAGCAATTAATATAAATGGTAAGATACAAGCAACAAAGTTATAGTCATAAGAAGATAAGGAGATAGATAATAGGAAAGATGAGAAGAATAAAGTTAGTACAGCCTTACTAAGTAGTTTGACAATGTGGGAATTAGTTGTTTAGCAGAGTGATGGCATGGGGGGAAAAAAACTGTCCTTGTGTCTAGTTCAGTGGTTCTCAACCTGTGGGTCGGGACCCCATTTGGGGTCGAATGACCATTTCATGGGGGTTGCCAAACAACGCAGTCCACCATTTTTTTCCCCCTTTTCCTTAGCTGTGCTACTCCCTTTTATTCTATTGGCTTTTGAAAGCCAATAGAGTAAACTCTGTTGAATAGAGTCTAATTCTATTGGCTTTCAAAAGCCAATAGGAATTGTCCAGGCTGTCTCTGCCCTGCTGAGCCCACCAAAAGTCCCATTCTGCAAACGGTGCTGCACCAGTTGAGTAGTCCTCGACTTACAACCGGTTGAGTAGTCTTCGACTTACGACCGGTTGGGGGTCGTGGCATTAAAAAGTTTGAGAACCACTGGACTAGTTGTTTTGGCATGCAATGCCCTATAGCAGGGGTAGGAAACCTTGGCTCTTTTATGACTCATGGATTTCAACTCCCAGAATTCCTGAGCCAGCATGGCTCAGCATGGAAATCTCTCCCTTTCCCCTCAACATGGCTGGCTCAGGAATTCTGGGAGTTGAAGTCCACGAGTCATAAAAGAGCCAAGGTTGCCTACCCCTGCCCTATAGCGTCATCTTGATGGAAGAAGTTGAAACGGTTTAGGTCTAGGATATGAAGGATCTATAGATATTTTTCTCAGCCTTCTCTCTCGTTTGTGCAGTATACAGGTCCTCCATGGAAGGCAGGCTGGTTGCAAATGTTTTTTCTGTGGTTCTAACTCTCCGTTGAAGTCTGTGTCTATCTAGTTTGGTTGCAGTGCCAAACCAGACAGTTATAGAGGTGCAAAGGACAGACTCAGTAATTCCTTTGTAGAGCTGTATTAGCAGCTCCTGGGAAAATCCAAGTTTCCTGAGTTGCATTCTGTAGCAGAACCCCTAATTGTTCATAGTGTAAAGAATCATTCAAAATGCCACAATCATATCATCCCGAAGCCTAAGTTCAGAGGATGTTGCGTTATGCAAGATTATTTTTGAAGAGAAAGAGCATGGTATAATTTGATAAGAAGTACCCTATTAAAGTGCTGTCTCTCCCAGCATGGGCCATCTAGAGAATTGGAGGATGCTGCCAGTGTAGTCAAGATGATGGCTGTCCTAGTAGGATCATGCAATGCATGTTAAAGATGGTGGGCCTCAGTCATGAAAGACGTGTGTTTTCCTTTCTCAAGGACTCTCTCCTTGAGATCAGGATTGGAATAGCCTGGATGAGTGACGTTTGTCTTCCCAGTTCTGGAATTTTTTCAATCAATTCAACCAGTATAGAGCTGGAAGGGACCTTAGAGGTCTTCTAGTCCAACCCCCTGCTCAAGCAGGAAATCCTATATCCTTTCAGATAGGTGGTTGTCCAATCTTTTCTTAAAAACCTCCAGTGATGGAGCACTCACAATTTCTGTAGGCAAGCTCTTCCAGTGGTTGATTGTTCTCACTGTTAGGAAGTTTCTCCTTAATTCTAGGTTGCTTCTCTCCTTGATTAGTTTTCTCCATTGTTTCTTGTCCTGCTCTCTGCTGCTTTGGAAAATAAGTTGACCTCCTTTCTTTTTGGCACCCCTCAAATACTGGAACACTGCTATCATGTCCCCCCTAGTCCTTCTTTTCTCTAGACTGGCCATATTCAGTTCCTGTAACCGTTTTTCATATGTTTTTGTCTCCAGGCCCTTAATCATCTTAGTTGCTCTTCTTTGTACTGTTTCCAAAGTCTCAACATCTTTTTTGAAAGATGGTGACCAAAACTGGATGCAGAATTCCAGGTGTGGTCTTACTAAGGCTTTATAAAGCGGTACTAATACTTCATGTGATTTTGATTCTGTGCCTCTGTTTATACAACCAAGGATTCTGTTCGCTTTTTTGGCTGCTGCCGCACACTGCTGTCTCATGTTTAAGTGATTGTCCAAGGTCCCTCTCACACTTACTGTTTTTGAGCCAGATTTCGCCTAATCTGTACTTGTGCCTTTGTTTTTTCCTGCCTAGGTGTAAAACCTTTGGTTATTTTGAATGGAACTGGCTTGCATGGGCCTCGGGCATTGCAGCTTTGTGGGTAACGTAGATCATCTTGCAGAGGGCCAGTTGGCTGTTCCTCGTGCTCAGATGTGATTTGTGTCCGAGTCTTTTAAAATGACTATTTGCCAATACAAGAACATCCTCCCTAAATTGTAGAAGTGTGATTTG